GGCACCCCATACATGAGAGGTGTTTTGGTGTGATGGGTTGGTTTAGAGAATATGAGTCACTGTTTTGGTGAGATGGGTTGGTTTAGAGAATATGAGTCACTGTTTTGGTGAGATGGGTTGGTTTAGAGAATATGAGTCACTGTTTTGGTGTGATGGGTTGGTTTTGAAAAGAGACTGTGTTGTTGTGTGTACGTAGCTTTAGAAAAGAGGTTTGTGTTTAGAGTTTTGAAAAAAGGGAGGGCAGTATCGTGAAATGTGTTTAAGCAATAGAGAAAAACTAAGTTCCTGTGTCCTGATTGTTCAAGGATCACGCTTTTGCACTTCCCTCAGTGTTTGCTTCAGTTCAAGAACAGATCATAATAAATGACATTTGAGTTGAGTCTTATTTTCCTCCATGTTTGTAAAGTCTTTGAATAATATGAAGGACATGAATCACAATCAATCACAGAATCAAATCACAAAACTGTCGAATATTGTAAGAATCTCAATAATATTGAATTGTGACAAATATCACTGTTAAATGTCTGTCACTACATTTCCCATGATGCACCTGTTAATATTGTAGTTCCCCAGGGTCTCCCGTAGCCATGTTCAGAGCTGTTCTTTACAGTGTTAGGGGCGGAGCCTGTGCGCGTGCGTCATGCCAATGTAACCAAGGAGAAATTGTACTTTTATTTTTGTAAGTGAAGTTCACCAAATCCTTCACTTTACTAGTTGTTTAATCAGTATTTCACGTTTAGAGGCAAGTTCTAGCCATATTTCGTTCGTTATTACTATGTCAGAAGTGTTGCTCATTTATGCCTGTACTGTCACTTTAAGAGAAAGCCCGCACAACGTGCTTTCTGAGCTACTCAGCAGCGCCTCCCTCAGTCTGCGCTATGCTTTCTGAGAGGTGGGTATTGATTTGTGCTCGTAAAATTAAACAATATTAATTAGATAATTGGACACGCCAAAGTATGACAATTCATGGTTAAAACATCTGTATGTACATTTTTAAGAGTCAGCATGTAGCAAGTAGACCCATGCATAAAACGTTTTTGTCTTTTTAGCAAGCTAATGCAAAATGTGCTAGAGACTTAGCTAAAAGCACCATCTATGTGTCCACTTGCTAACAGGGGACTGGTGAGCTGTGTGCATGGGAGAGACCACAGTACATGTGATGTACATGTTATTTGATTTGTGCAGTTATGTGCAACACTTTCATAATTCATGGTTATTAACACTTTATAAATTACACTGGGCATTTTGAAAATGCAATTCATGTTTTTTATTTACAAGTTAAAAATGTATTTTTATTTTATTGTTAAAAGGATGTCTAAAATGTATGTGCACAATATTAGCTGCACTCAGTCTGCGCTATGCTTTCTGAGAGGGGACTGGTGAGCTGTGTGCATGGGAGAGACCACAGTACATGTGATGTACATGTTATTTGATTTGTGCAGAACTGCCAGTAAAAGTGCTCCCAGTGATCAACACGTCTCCTGGTCCTTCCTTCTCCGCGCAGTACTCCAGCAGAACACAACGCAGAGACCACAAGGGTTAACGGATGTGCCCCGAGTCCATAAGACTCTGTTGAACTGAGCCACACCCGTTACACCAACCATCAATAATCCTGTGTGTATAAGTTCTGTGTGCGTCTATGCAAAGTGAGTACCATGTGCCAATCTATATTTATGCTCCATTTATATACTTTAATGTCCGCTTCCTCCTTGTAGCTACAACACGTGGTGCGCCACGTGCATGACTGTAGGAGCACTCCATAATAAGCCCTGCTATATGTGGATAATGTACATATGTGTGTCTGTGTGTGTATAGTTTAGAACAGCCCGTTTCTGCTACACATATAGTTTGCCTTTTCATTCTCGAGGTCGGACATCCGGGAACTTGGACTCCCATAATGCACTGCGCGCGCATAGCAACGCGGCGAAGGGTAAAACAAACCAGCGCCCGCCATTAAGCAACACGAAGCGAAAGACAAACGAGCGTTACAAAACATGCCGAAAAACTGTTGTATTGTTGGTTGTACCAACAACAGCGTAAAAAGGAGTGACCTATCCTTTTACATGATCCCTAGCGAGGCAACTGAGCCAGAAAGGAGAGAGAAATGGCTCCAGCTGGCTTGGAGCTACTCAGTGGGGAATCTTTAGATTTTGTCACTTTGCTCCTTGAACAGGAAAGAAGAACAACAACCCCGCATACCCAGATTACACTCCGTCCATTTTCCCGCAAGCAGTGCTGAAGGAATTGACTAAGAGTACCACACTTGATCGCTTCAAGAGAGCACAGAAAAGAAAAGGTAAGTTTGCTACCCACAGTACCCTATCGTTAACAGAAAAAAAAACCATCAAACTGTAGTGTGATCAACATGCATCTAGTTTGCTCCTAGATCAATGACCAAAAATTATCTGAATTTGTTTGACACAACACTTGAAATTTAAAACTAACAAATTGCAGTCGATTTTGTTTATGCAGACATATATATAGTAGCAAATTGTGTTTATTGCTCTTATTTTACACTGCAGTAAAACCGTACCTGCAGATAATGAGCTGCATTTCCAATGCACAGTTAAGAATTAAAAGATTCCATATTGCAATGAGGTTGTGTACAACAATTGATACAAGCACCTTGTGAAATAGAATGTTGTCCCCCATATGAAATACATAAATAAAAAATACATGTTGATTTCTAATGACAAATTTGAAAAAGTAGTACTTGGGAGGTTAACTGCTACAAAAATGGTAATCTGTGTAAAAATACAGATTTTGCTAACAAATGTATTTTCCTTGAAAACAAAATTACCTCCTGTATGAAAAAGTCATTGCATCTACAAAGTAACTAGTCATGCAGATTTTTGTACATAATGCCTAGCCTGGAAATTCTTGGTAAGATGGTATTTATAGTACAAAACTAGTCTACTGGTCGCTGCTTTCTAGTCATAGTCGACTATTATGACTTATCGTCCCAATCCAACTCAATACTAAATATACTGCCGTTTAGTAACACCAGGAAGCCGAGTGAGTGAGTGAGTGGTTGGTGGTGGTCGGAGGGGCCGATGGCGCAGACTGGTCGCCTCGCTTCAGTCAGTCTACCCCAGGGCAGCTGTGGCTATAATAGTTGCTTACCACCACCAAGTATGGAGTGAATGAATAGTGCAATGTTAAGCGTCTTTGAGTGTCCAGAAAAGCACTACATAAAACTGATGCATTATTATTATTATTATAAATATGAGGCCATGACTTAAAATTTCTGTGATCATTTGCAAAATATATACCTTTTATCTATTTTTTTCAGCACCATCCACTACTCTAGTATCACGAAAGGAAAGGAAGGTGAAGAAGCAACTGGAATTTGAGGAGACAAGTGTCCCAGAAGAGTTGCAACAAGAAGTGTCAACACCCTGCATGGAAATGCAAGACCTGCAGCAGACGGAATTAGGCATTGACAAAATCAGCAATGATTCGGTCTCCACCATCATAATACTAAATACACCTGAAACAAAAGAAAATGAAGAAAGGGAAATAATTTTATTTTTATACATTAACATATCACATCTAGGAGAGTGACAATTGACCAGAGCAAAAACACTGACAAATTGCAAGTAAATGATACAAATGTTTTCATGTCAATCTTCACGTCTTTTAGTATTTCTACTTATACAATGTCTAATAAACTATTTCTCATTAGAAATGTTAAAGTCTTGCTGTTGTCGTTAGACACTACATATATATATATAATAAAATGTAATCTGATGACTGGTTATTGCAAAAAATAACCGGTCATAAAAAGTGTGAATAGAGGGTATGCCATTTTACTTTAAAATTTAAATAGAAATGTAATCTCAAATGAATGGACACATTGAGGGGCAAATCAAAGAATAACAAAATAATACCAATGCCATGCCACTGTTTTCTGTTGCTATGTTATGACATCGCTATGCATAATGGTCGGCAGCTCTACACCGATAAGCAACAATGAAATGCACTAGTTGTGTGGGGAATAAGTGGAATTTCTGCAGTTAGCCTTTTTTGGCTTTTGAAAAAAACTGTGTCCCTCACTTACACTGTACAAGCTGTGCCACTGACAGACTGAGCTCATTACAGCCACATTGTAACAGAATGCTTTTGAATGTCATAACATAGTTAATGTTATCGATGCTTGATGGGTATTTAAATATTACTACAAGTGTAGGACACATGGTATGTACACATGGTGTTCATACCAGGGGACTTGATGAGGTAATTGTATATGTCTGGATACTCGAGCCTGGGCCATGCCTTTGGGTTGTTTTCCCAGGACTCTGCTGGATGCCGATAGGGACAAGATTGTAAACCTACAAGCGACAGCTTTCTGTGGTACCTTAGCCTGGCCTTTGCCATCCGTAAACTCCGGTCAAATCTTTTTTTCCCGGGATGTACCCTCTGTACGAAACAAGTATGAGGGTATGGTAAAACCAGGCTAGTGGTACCTGGTCAATGCAGGCGCTAGGAGACTGTCAATATACTGATATGACATGCTGCAATAGAAGAAGAAGATCTGTATTCATATAGTGCCTTTCACAGACATGTAGCTAGTCACAAAGCGCTTTACATGAGTGTTTAATCTCACATGTATGGAGTGAATGTAAACTAAAACTGGCGATTATAAGTGTAAAACTACAACTGAAAAAGGTGGTCCTGTTGTGGCTTAAGGTGCAAGAACAAGAGGAATGACATTTGCGTTAATAAAATAAGGTTTATCTGATATTTCCAACAACAGTTAGACATTTCTTTATTGTTACTATGACAACAGCTACAATGGAAATAGATAGGAATTTAGATTCCTGCCTCCAGCTAAGCAAGCCCTGAATGTTTACACCACCAACATACATTCGCATACACAGATATCATTCATCAATAATTCAAAGTTGTCCGTTAGTATCCATAACTGACATAATCCACGGCAAAACATATGTAAATAGATACCTTTTGGATTCGCCTTCGGTTTGTTTTACCCTTCAAACATGGCGGCGGTTGGTTGCTACGCAGGTCACATGATTCGTGACGTAACGCCGACCTCGAGAATTATAAAGTTCCACGTAACACCATTTATAGAGTTAGAGCGCCCCCTTGTGGGCTACGGTTGTAATGTCACTCATTGATTACAGTGTATCTGTGTTCATAGTCTAAAAGGCTGTTTTTAATAAACATTTGATCTTTTGTGTTGATTCCAGGTAGAGGCATAAGAATCTGGCTTAACCTGCAGAAAATACATGGATTTCTTCATGAAGCCCTTCACGAGCTCTTTAGCATCATTTCTACAAGATTCTACACACGTTCTTTTACAAATGGAAGAGTGTGTGAGCCTCTGCTTGTTACTATGGATGTAAAGTCTCTGTTCACTAATAGAGAACACACTCAGGGTCCACCAGCTTTACTAATCTTTCCTGGATAAACGCTCTGACCCCACAAGCCCCTCAGTGACTTTCTGTTCTCACCCACTGGACTCTTGAAAACAGCGAACAGGAACAATAGTAGAAATGGATCAAGTGGAGACTAAACAAATTCAAAAGTGGAGACTAAACTTGCAATTGGAAGGTGAGTGCGTACAACAAGGATATCAGATGTGTTGGGTTCTGTCGGGCTCAGGCCTGTTATACAGCGTTCAATGGTCGGGCTTATACGGGCTCGGGCTTAACATTAGCGGGCTCGGGCCGGCTCGGGCTTCATTTTTCAGGCCCGAACAAAACTCTATCCGTGGGACAGCGTGCTCAGGGACGGGCTCACCCCGTCACATCAGGAATAATAAAGGGGTTCAATCTGAGACAGAAAACAAACAATCCTGGGTCTAAACAAAAGATGACGGCAGAAAGAACACTGTCCTCTTCATACTGTAGCAGCGATCGCAGATCAGTCCGTAGTGGTAGTATTAGTGGTAGTATTAGTGGTAGTATTAGTGGTAGTATTAGTGGTAGTATTAGTGGTAGTTGGGGCTGGGCAATAAAACGATAACGATATATACCGCGATAGACACGTGTTCGATATCAATAGAAAACAAGGTCGATAGAACACACTCAGGGTCTACCAGGTTCAACTTCACTTCAAAAACAGGAAAACACAGGAAGTAAAGCAGAGTCAGAAGCACATGGCATTCTGGGGGACGTAGGCAAAGACTTCTCAACCTATCACAGCCGAGTATAAACCGCAAAGCATTCTGGGAAATGCAAAAAAACAGCCGCAACAGTCTGACCGCACCATGTGTAGCGTCCATGGATCTAAAGATCGTGTTTCAGGCCGTGTCAATGGTTCTGTCCGTGTGAGGAACCGCATGTGCAGCAGAGGGCACAGAGACTCATGTGTGGCTATCAGAGAGCTATCAGAGAGCTATCAGAGAGCTGCACGGAGCCGTCACAGGGACACAAGACACTCAAAAACAGCCTGAACAGGAGCTAAACCAGGACTAAACCAGGACTAAACCAGGACTAACCAGGACTAAACCAGGACTGACAATGGGGGACCCTGTGCTTATGAACATTTGCCTTCAGCCTGAGTTGTCATTCCCCCGTGACTGTAAACAAGGGCTGCTAACGTCTGTTAGCAGACACAACAAACAAATGTATTTATTTAGGTTTTAGAAAACCCCCCAATAATAATCGATATTGACCGCTTTGAATCACTTATTTTGTGATATCGTTTTCAGTCATATCGCCCAGCCCGAGTAGTCGTAAGGATTTCTTTCAAACGTTATGCAAAAGAAAACAATATAAATAAAAACAAGACACAAAATAAACTGTTTGAAAAGAAGCAGACGCTTATTTGGCTCCAACCCTTCACTCATTCAGCACAACACACACAATCACACACGCAACACTATTGCACGCACACACACACAACACACGACAAGACACAGGCCCGAACACTCTCTGACCACACACTCCCGCCCTCTGCTCGCTCCGTGCTGAAGTCCACACACTTTCATACATTTGTTACTTGATCTCAGACCTTTTATTTTTGATTCACTTTCATCATAAAAACATGACATCACACTTTGTGATAATACTAAGTTGTCTACACTACATTATCCTGGCCTCCATGACACTATTTTTGTTTTTAGTTTTCTACCATTTAACATGGATTTAATAAATTGTGACTGTTTGACAGCCTTTGTTCTGATTGGCTGCAGACGCCGTGTGGAGGTGAGCAGCTCTGGCCCCGCCCCCTGCACCACGCCCTCCTTCCCCCCCGCTCAGCACACCTCTCTGGAGCAGGTAACGATCTACAGGGGCCTCGTGTATCTGGGAGTGTGGATCTGTGCACACGCAGAGACAGAAACACTAAAACTGCACACGCTATTTTACTTTGCTCACGCAGTTTAGCTCCGGGATAAGTATAATGAACCTGAATATTATCATTCTAACATTAACAGTAGAGAAAGTACAGTCTCTGTCTGGTCTCTCTCTCTCTTCTCTCACTCTCTGGTCTCTGTCTCTTTTCTCTCACTCTCTGGTCTCTGTCTCTCACTCTCTTTGGTCTCTCTTCCTTTCTATGTCTCTCTCTCTTTCTCTCTGGTCTCTATCTCTCTGGTCTCTCTCTGTCTCTCTCTCTCCGTCTCTGGTCTCTCTGGTCTGTTTTTTCTCTTGTCTCTCTTTCTCTCTCTGGTCTCTGTCTCTTTTCTCTCACTCTCTGGTCTCTGTCTCTCACTCTCTTTGGTCTCTCTTCCTTTCTATGTCTCTCTCTCTCTCACTCTCTGGTCTCTATCTCTCTGGTCTCTCTCTGTCTCTCTCTCTCCGTCTCTGGTCTCTCTGGTCTGGAAATGTTTTATTTAGGGTATTTTTTTAATCACTGTGGCGGGTCAATTTGACCAGAAGATAGCACAAGGATTAACCAGTCCCTCTACAGTAGAGTAGAGTAGAGTAGAGTAGAGTAGAGTAGAGTAGAGTAGAGTAGAGTAGAGTAGAGTAGAGTAGAGTAGAGTAGAGTAGAGTAGAGTAGAGTAGAGTAGAGTAGAGGGCTCAAATGACACTGTGTTGATCTTATGGAACTTTCTTCTCTCCAGAGTCCTGACGTTGCAGTGTAGAGTCTGTGTTGGGTTCAGAGGACTGTGAGGGCCTCTGGGGTGAGGACAGTGGGGGCCTCTGGGGTGAGGACAGTGGGGGCCTCTGGGGTGAGGACAGTGGGGGCCTCTGGGGTGAGGACAGTGGGGGCCTCTTGAGTGAGGCGGATCAGTCTGTTGGGTTCAGAGGACCTCAGGGGCCTCTGGAGTGAGGCGGATCAGTCTGTTGGGTTCAGAGGACCTCAGGGGCCTCTGGAGTGAGGCGGATCAGTCTGTTGCTGGCCTGAGCGAGCTCGGAGATGGACACGCGGCCTCTCTGTCGGATGAACTGAGCCACAGACTCCAGCTCCTCGAGGGTGATGGAGATGAACTTCCCCCTGTCGTCGATCACTCCTGCAGACAACACAAAGACACACACAGACCACACACAGACACACACAGACCACACACAGACACACACAGACACACACAGACCACACACAGACACACACAGACCACACACAGACACACACAGACACACACAGACCACACACAGACACACACAGACCACACACAGACCACACACAGACACACACAGACCACACACAGACACACACAGACACACACAGACCACACACAGACACACACAGACACACACAGACACACACAGACCACACACAGACACACACAGACACACACAGACACACACAGACCACACACAGACACACACAGACACACACAGACCACACACAGACACACACAGACCACACACAGACCACACACAGACACACACAGACCACACACAGACACACACAGACCACACACAGACACACACAGACACACACAGACACACACAGACCACACACAGACACACACAGACCACACAGACACACACAGACACACACAGACCACACACAGACCACACACACAGACCACACACAGACCACACACAGACACACACAGACACACACAGACACACACAGACACACACAGACCACACACAGACACACACAGACACACACAGACACACACAGACCACACACACCACACACAGACACACACAGACACACACAGACCACACACAGACACACACAGACACACACAGACCACACACAGACACACACAGACACACACAGACACACACACAGACCACACACAGACACATACAGGCACACACAGACACACACACAACACACACACAGACACACACAGACACACACAGACACACACAGACCACACACAGACCACACACAGACACATACAGGCACACACAGACACACACAGACCACACACAGACACACACAGACACACACAGACCACACACAGACACACACAGACACACACAGACACACACAGACCACACACAGACCACACACAGACACACACAGACACACACAGACACACACAGACCACACACAGACACACACAGACCACACACAGACCACACACAGACACACACAGACACACACAGACACACACAGACACACACAGACCACACACAGACACACACAGACACACACAAACCACACAAACCACACACAGACACACACAGACCACACACACACACACACACACACAGACCACACACAGACACACACAGACACACACAGACACACACAGACACACACAGACCACACACAGACACACACAGACACACACAGACCACACACAGACCACACACAGACACACACAGACCACACACAGACACACACAGACACACACAGACACACACAGACACACACAGACACACACAGACACACACAGACACACACAGACCACACACAGACACACACAGACACACACAGACCACACACAGACACACACAGACCACACACAGACACACACAGACCACACACAGACACACACAGACACACACAGACACACACAGACCACACACACAGACCACACACACAGACACACACAGACCACACACAGACACACACAGACACACACAGACCACACACAGACACACACAAACCACACACAGACCACACACAGACACACACAGACACACACAGACCACACACAGACCACACACAGACACACACAGACACACACAGACCACACACAGACACACACAGACACACACAGACACACACAGACCACACACAGACACACACAGACCACACACAGACCACACACAGACACACACAGACACACACAGACACACACAGACACACACAGACACACACAGACACACACAGACACACACAGACCACACACACACACACACACACAGACCACGACACAACAGACACACACAGACCACACACAGACACACACAGACACACACAGACACACACAGACCACACACAGACACACACAGACCACACACAGACCACACACAGACACACACAGACACACACAGACCACACACAGACACACACAGACACATACAGACACATACAGACACACACAGACCACACACAGACCACACACAGACACACACAGACACACACAGACACACACAGACACACACAGACACATACAGACACACACAGACCACACACAGACACACACAGACACACACAGACCACACACAGACACACACAGACACACACAGACACACACAGACCACACACAGACCACACACAGACACACACAGACACACACAGACACACACAGACGCATCAGTACAACAGAAGGCTGTGGATGGGAGACCTCGGGCCAAACTACTGTGTCCTTAGGTCAGTCTGCTTTGTGAGTGAGTGCTTCTGTCAGTCTGTCCCACGGCAGCTGTGGCTAAAGTACTAGTGTACCACCCCAGTGTACACAGTATACATTATTCTTAAATGTAAATAAAATCAAGCTTGTACTGCTTAATACCTGACACGTTTGGGGAGTATCCATGTTGTATGTGGAGTAACCAGGGTGTTTAAACTACCCTCCACCACAACACTAAGCTCATAGGGACCTGGTGATGTCACATGATCGCAGGTAACGACGACAGAAGAATCCCGCTAACGAAGCAGCACTAGCTTCTTTAACGAACCTCCAAAGCCTGGTACATTACTCCGACTGAAGGCAGGTGAAATGAGAACGTACCGGTGAGCGCTCCGTCGGCGAGCAGCTCCTGGACTCTCTTGATGGCGTCCTGGGTCCTCATCCCGAAGTGAGAGGCCAGATCCTCCAGAAGCACCACTTTAGTGTCCTGTGCAGACACACGAGCAGAGCGGGCGCTTCATCAGGTGTGAGAGGAAGAGGAAGAGGAAGAGGAAGAGATCCCTCATTCGTTCCCTCGGTAACGGGGAAATGTCAGTGTTGGATCAGCGGTTACAGAGCAGCGCACAGTAACTCAAGTATAAAGTACTGTGTATTTTAGAGCCAGTAATACATGTAGTATGTTTACTAGGGCTGGGACTCCATTACAAAAATAATCTGATTAATTAGAGGCTTTTTAATGAATCGCATTTAATTATATTTGACCTGAGAACAGTGAATACATCAAATAAACACATGTTCATTGAAGAGGAGCAGACCTCCTCCTCCTCCTCCTCCACACACTCTGACCTCCTCCTCCTCCTCCTCCTCCTCCTCCACACACTCTGACCTCCTCCTCCTCCTCCTCCTCCTCCTCACACACAGGAGTCGCTCCTCCTCCTCCTCACACACAGGAGTCGCTCTATGCTTGTTATAATGTACTTTTGAACAAAAAAGTCACGGAGCTCGAGTTGGTGCTCCAGTAAAATCGGTCCGTCTGAAACTCATCCAGTAAGGAAAGTTCCGCGGTACAACGTCCCATACGATTAAAATGCGTCACATTTTTTAACGCACTAATTTTTGTTAAAGTCCCGGCCCTAATGTTTACATGTGTTATTATCGCACAGATGAGTAAAATAAATAAGTGACAGGTTTGCCGTTACCTCGATGTACTGGATGAATTCTTGTAGGAGGTTGCGAGACTGTGGGGGAAAAACAAGGACAAATGAATAAGTGGAGGTGAGATCCCAGTGGGTTTCTTGGGTCTGGTCCTGGTCCTCACCTGGTCCTCTGTGAGCTGCTCCGCTTCTCCCTGGTCCTCGATGACGAACTGGGCCTTGAGTTTCTGGTACTCCTCTTCGTCTCGCCTCTCCTGCTCCTCCTTGGCTCGGCGCTCTGCTTCCTCCTGTTGAAATGTTTTTTTTGTTTCAAAGCTGGGGTACCCAACTTATAAACCACAAAAATAATTCAACATCTTAAAATCCATAATCCTCACTCTCAAAATGTTTGGTTCCATGACTAGTTTTCACATGTTTTGGACCTTTCACATATTTAAATCAGCTTTTTCAGACAGAAAGGTGAAAGAAGGAGGACCATCTTCACTCAGCCAATCAGCTCTCAGCCCAAAGTGTGCAAAGGATGGAAGTATGAAGCATGATGTGGTCTGATTTGTTCACAAACACATTTACAGACAAAGCACCAAACAATCCATCCCAAAACTGCTTGTATATTATCACTAGTAGATCATTTTTGGACATTTTATGCGTCTAACATGCCACACCTGGTGTCAGGCACCAGGATGGACCAGTCAGTGATGTGTTGAATCAGAGAAATAGCTCTAAGCAAAGACACTTAGAAACCGGGACCACAACTTCAAACTCTAAGCTCTTAGGAAGTGATGTCGCATGAACGGTGCTGACCTGTTTGAGCTCCATCTGCCGCTCCCTCTCCTCCTCTTGCCTCTTGTCCTGATCCTTCAGCTCCTGCATCCTCTTCCTCTCCTCGCGCTCCTCCATCTCGGCCTGTGGGAAACATCACACAAGAGCCGTGAGTGACCGCCGCCGCCGCCGCCGCCGCCGCCCACGTCCTGGAGCGGCGTGACAGACGGGACGGCTGCGTACCTCTCTCTGAGCTTTCTTCGCCTGCTTCTCCTCCAGTTTGCGCTGCTTCTTGGCTCCGATTTTTCCGGTGGCTTGAAAGTTTTGTGACTCGTCCTCTTCTTCCTCAGACTCTACATCAACTGAAAAGAGAGGAGCATAAATGAGTGTGTATATTGTTGATGATAGACCTGTAACGTTTCATGATTTTGTTCTTTCAAGACTCAAAAGGATGCATTTGCTGGAGGTGAGTTGGTGTCTTGCCCCATGACACAACAATAGCTGGGATTAAAACTTCATATGGGCTTTCCTAATGTTTAATGGCAACAACAAATTTTGAATCAGAAGAACGTAACATGCATTAAATTACTTCTTGTAGAGATGTTCTGCTCAAAGGTTATGAAGCAGCAGGATTCAAGCCAGTGTTCATGAGACATGCAGTTCAACAATAAGCAGTTCTCACCAAGAGCCACAAGATGGCGCCATTCCTACTGTTTTCAGCTGAATCCATAGACTGTCAAACTCTGGCTACTGGGATAATACGAGAAATAAATTACTTCAAGCTTCAAGTGTTTGTGGAAAACTCACCTTAAATAATCTGTGTTTAGTGCTCTCTATGATTCTAGTTTTTATAATTTCATATTCTCTTTGTAAATTCTTAAAGGAGCCATGTAAGATGCAGTCATTCATGTGGGAACTTCAGCCACCGCCTCAGCAACCGCCTCAGCAACCGCCTCAGCAACCGCCTCAGCAACCGCCTCAGCAACCGCCTCAGCAACCGCCTCAGCCACCGCCTCAGCCACCGCCTCAGCCACCGCCTCAGCCACCGCCTCAGCAACCGCCTCAGCAACCGCCTCAGCCACCGCCTCAGCAACCGCCTCAGCCACCGCCTCAGCAACCGCCTCAGCAACCGCCTCAGCAACCGCCTCAGCAACCGCCTCAGCCACCGCCTCAGCCACCGCCTCAGCCACCGCCTCAGCCACCGCCTCAGCAACCGCCTCAGCAACCGCCTCAGCAACCGCCTCAGCAACCGCCTCAGCCACCGCCTCAGCAACCGCCTCAGCCACCGCCTCAGCCACCGCCTCAGCCACCGCCTCAGCAACCGCCTCAGCCACCGCCTCAGCAACCGCCTCAGCAACCGCCTCAGCAACCGCCTCAGCCACCGCCTCAGCCACCGCCTCAGCCACCGCCTCAGCAACCGCCTCAGCAACCGCCTCAGCAACCGCCTCAGCCACCGCCTCAGCCACCGCCTCAGCCACCGCCTCAGCCACCGCCTCAGCCACCGCCTCAGCAACCGCCTCAGCAACCGCCTCAGCAACCGCCTCAGCCACCGCCTCAGCCACCGCCTCAGCCACCGCCTCAGCCACCGCGCCCGCCTCAGCCACCGCCTCAGCAACCGCCTCAGCAACCGCCTCAGCAACCGCCTCAGCAACCGCCTCAGCAACCGCCTCAGCAACCGCCTCAGCAACCGCCTCAGCCACCGCCTCAGCAACCGCCTCAGCAACCGCCTCAGCCACCGCCTCAGCCACCGCCTCAGCCACCGCCTCAGCAACCGCCTCAGCCACCGCCTCAGCACCGCCTCAGCAACCGCCTCAGCAACCGCCTCAGCAACGCCTCAGCCACCGCCTCAGCAACCGCCTCAGCAACCGCCTCAGCAACCGCCTCAGCAACCGCCTCAGCAACCGCCTCAGCACGCCCCCGCTCAGCGACCGCGCCTCAGCCACCGCCTCAGCGACCGCCTCAGCAACCGCCTCAGCAACCGCCTCAGCCACCGCCTCAGCCACCGCCTCAGCCACCGCCTCAGCAGCCACCGCCTCAGCCTCCGCCTCAGCACCGCCTCAGCACGCTCACCGCCTCAGCAACCGCCTCAGCAACCGCCTCAGCACCGCCTCAGCAACCGCCTCAGCAACCGCCTCAGCAACCGCCTCAGCACCGCCTCAGCAACCGCCTCAGCAACCGCCTCAGCAACCGCCTCAGCAACCGCCTCAGCCACCGCCTCAGCAACCGCCTCAGCAACCGCCTCAGCAACCGCCTCAGCAACCGCCTCAGCAACCGCCTCAGCAACCGCCTCAGCAACCGCCTCAGCAACCGCCTCAGCAACCGCCTCAGCAACCGCCTCAGCAACCGCCTCAGCACCGCCTCAGCAACCGCCTCAGCAACCGCCTCAGCAACCGCCTCAGCCACCGCCTCAGCCACCGCCTCAGCCACCGCCTCAGCAACCGCCTCAGCAACCGCCTCAGCCCCACCGCCTCAGCAACCGCCTCAGCCACCGCCTCAGCACCGCCCACCACCGCCTCAGCAACCGCCTCAGCAACCGCCTCAGCAACCGCCTCAGCACCGCCAGCAACCGCCTCACCTCAGCAACGCCTCAGCCACCGCCTCAGCCACCGCCTCAGCACCGCCTCAGCAACCGCCTCAGCAACCGCCTCAGCAACCGCCTCAGCCTACACCGCCTCAGCCACCGCCTCAGCCACCGCCTCAGCCACCGCCTCAGCACACCGCCTCAGCACACCGCCTCAGCCACCGCCTCAGCAACCGCCTCAGCAACCGCCTCAGCAACCGCCTCAGCACCGCCTCAGCACCGCCTCAGCCACCGCCTCAGCCACCGCCTCAGCAACCGCCTCAGCACCGCCTCAGCACCGCCTCAGCCACCGCCTCAGCCACCGCCTCAGCACGCCTCAGCACCGCCTCAGCCACCGCCTCAGCACCGCAACCGCCTCAGCAACCGCCTCAGCAACCGCCTCAGCCACCGCCTCAGCCACCGCCTCAGCCACCGCCTCAGCCACCGCCTCAGCAACCGCCTCAGCAACCGCCTCAGCAACCGCCTCAGCAACCGCCTCAGCAACCGCCTCAGCAACCGCCTCAGCAACCGCCTCAGCACCGCCTCAGCCACCGCCTCAGCCACCGCCTCAGCAACCGCCTCAGCACCGCCTCAGCCGCCTCAGCCACCGCCTCAGCCACCGCCTCAGCACCCCTCAGCCACCGCCTCAGCACCGCCTCAGCCTCAGCCCGCCTCAGCCACCGCCTCAGCCACCGCCTCAGCAACCGCCTCAGCACCGCCTCAGCAACCGCCTCGCACCGCCTCAGCACCGCCTCAGCCACCGCCACACCGCCTCAGCAACCGCCTCAGCAACCGCCTCAGCAACCGCCTCAGCCACCGCCTCAGCACCGCCTCAGCAACCGCCTCAGCAACCGCCTCAGCAACCGCCTCAGCAACCGCCTCAGCAACCGCCTCAGCAACCGCCTCAGCAACCGCCTCAGCAACCGCCTCAGCAACCGCCTCAGCAACCGCCTCAGCACCGCCTCAGCCACCGCCTCAGCACCGCCTCAGCAACCGCCTCAGCCACCGCCTCAGCACGCTCAGCCGCCTCACCGCCTCAGCCACCGCCTCAGCACCGCCTCAGCCAACCGCCTCAGCCACCGCCTCAGCCACCGCCTCAGCCACCGCCTCAGCCACCGCCTCAGCCACCGCCTCAGCACCGCCTCAGCCACCGCCTCAGCACCGCCTCAGCACCGCCTCAGCAACCGCCTCAGCCACCGCCTCAGCAACCGCCTCAGCCACGCCTCAGCCACCGCCTCAGCCTACCGCCTCAGCAACCGCCTCAGCCACCGCCTCAGCCACCGCCTCAGCAACCGCCTCAGCCACCGCCTCAGCAACCGCCTCAGCAACCGCCTCAGCCACCGCCTCAGCCACCGCCTCAGCCACCGCCTCAGCCACCGCCTCAGCCAACCGCCTCAGCACCGCCTCAGCCACCGCCTCAGCCACCGCCTCAGCAACCGCCTCAGCCAACCGCCTCAGCCACCGCCTCAGCCACCGCCTCAGCCCTCAGCCACCGCCCCTCAGCCACCGCCTCAGCCACCGCCTCAGCCACCGCCTCAGCCACCGCCTCAGCCACCGCCTCAGCCACCGCCTCAGCACCGCCTCAGCCACCGCCTCAGCACCGCCTCAGCACCGCCTCAGCACCGCCTCAGCCCGCCGCCTCAGCAACCGCCTCAGCAACCGCCTCCTCCGCTCAGCACCGCCTCAGCCACCGCCTCAGCCACCGCCTCAGCCACCGCCTCAGCAACCGCCTCAGCCACCGCCTCAGCAACCGCCTCAGCCACCGCCTCAGCCACCGCCTCAGCCACCGCCTCAGCCACCGCCTCAGCAACCGCCTCAGCCACCGCCTCAGCCACCGCCTCAGCCACCGCCTCAGCAACCGCCTCAGCAACCGCCTCAGCCACCGCCTCAGCAACCGCCTCAGCAACCGCCTTAGCAACCGCCTCAGCAACCGCCTCAGCCACCGCCTCAGCCACCGCCTCAGCCACCGCCTCAGCAACCGCCTCAGCAACCGCCTCAGCCACCGCCTCAGCCACCGCCTCAGCAACCGCCTCAGCCACCGCCTCAGCCACCGCCTCAGCCACCGCCTCAGCCACCGCCTCAGCCACCGCCTCAGCGACCGCCTCAGCGACCGCCTCAGCGACCGCCTCAGCGACCGCCTCAGCCACCGCCTCAGCCACCGCCTCAGCCACCGCCTCAGCCACCGCCTCAGCCACCGCCTCAGCCACCGCCTTAGCAACCGCCTTAGCAACCGCCTCAGCCACCGCCTCAGCCACCGCCTCAGCAACCGCCTTAGCAACCGCCTTAGCAACCGCCTCAGCCACCGCCTCAGCCACCGCCTCAGCCACCGCCTCAGCCACCGCCTTAGCAACCGCCTTAGCAACACGTCTGTCCCTGTCCCTACATGAAGCTAACCCTGTCAGAATACTTTTCCTTTACAGTCTATAATCCAAACCGGAGCATGTCTATGATGGTATAACACATGGTTCTTACTCGGGTCCGGTTCCCTCTCCTCCGCAGCCTGTGCTCGTCTGTTGGCCATCACAGAGGCCATGCCCCTCCTCCTGCGGGGCATACCGGCCCCTCGCTCCTCTGGGACCCGAGGACGAGGCGCCGCGGCCTGGGCCACTTCACGCCGCTGCTCAACATCAGCTGAAAAACAACAAACCCACTCTCATCTATTGATAATACAATAGATCTGGAGGTTGCAATTCACAATTTAAAATGAATTATATAAAACAAATACTCAAGAAGTTGCAAATAATTCATTTTTAAAAGTTCCCTCATTAATCTCAGTATTATTATTTAACTTTGGCTTATTTTTTTGTAAAACTATCATTTCAATTTAAAACAAGTGTAATTTCATCAAAAACATTAGAACTCCCACAACAGTCCATTTGACGGCTTTTAATATTAGATATAACCCTCAGCGACATACTTGGCCTTTCTAACTTCTGTTTCTCTATGTCATTGTTTTTATTAATTACCGTTTCTTAATTACTTTAACTCCATTCACTCTGTGGCAGATAAAGCCTCTTATCCCAAGGTGCTGGTCCTGGACTGGTCTGAATAATTTTCCTCCAGAAAAGCGCTCGTTACCATAGCAACAGACTCTTTACTAGCAGCACTTACTATGCTGTAGCTTTTTTAAAACAAACTGTTACTGTATGTTTCAAGTCAGCGTAGTAGCACTTATTGAATGTTAAAATCTTATAAATTACGATTTCTTCCATTGATTTGAATGTGAGCCAAAATGCCTGCTCTGAGAGTTCTAGGGTTGCATTCTGTCGATGAGTTGATGATTGATAGTGTTATGGATGTGTTTGTTTCATGGTTTGATTGATAGTGTTATGGATGTGTTTGTTTCATGGTTTGACTGATAGTGTTATGGATGTGTTTGTTTCATGGTTTGATTGATAGTGTTATGGATGTGTTTGTTTCATGGTTTGACTGATAGTGTTATGGATGTGTTTGTTTCATGGTTTGACTGATAGTGTTATGGATGTGTTTGTTTCATGGTTTGATTGATAGTGTTATGGATGTGTTTGTTTCATGGTTTGATTGATAGTGTTATGGATGTGTTTGTTTCATGGTTTGACTGATAGTGTTATGGATGTGTTTGTTTCATGGTTTGACTGATAGTGTTATGGATGTGTTTGTTTCATGGTTTGATTGATAGTCTTATGGATGTGTTTGTTTCATGGTTTGATTGATAGTGTTATGGATGTGTTTGTTTCATGGTTTGACTGATAGTGTTATGGATGTGTTTGTTTCATGGTTTGATTGATAGTGTTATGGATGTGTTTGTTTCATGGTTTGACTGATAGTGTTATGGATGTGTTTGTTTCATGGTTTGATTGATAGTGTTATGGATGTGTTTGTTTCATGGTTTGATTGATAGTGTTATGGATGTGTTTGTTTCATGGTTTGACTGACAGCTGTTTCAGTGACGTAGCATTAGCATATTAGCAAAGAACATGGCAAAAGCTAAATTAAACAGAGCATCTAAAGCAGACTCTGTGGATTACAGAGTCATGTGGAGCTCTGTGTGCAGGATCCCGCAGGTGGATCCTCTGTAAACAACAATAATAAAGTTCTGAAACAGGCTGTCGGACCTTGCTGCGTGTTGCTCCGGACTTTCACCGTGAACAGGATGAGGACGAGCAGGATGAGAGCGGCCGTTACGTACAGAACCGGGTCCATGGTCACACACACGTACTGTCACTGATTATCCACCAAAATCACTTTATTTCATCCCCAAGGCCTCGGATAGACCGTGAAAGTGTGTGCAGCAAAGCCAGTGCTGTGTGGGGGCCACTGCGCATGCGTGACTTCCGCTTCCGTTTTCCACAGAGCAACACCGCCATCTACCGGTGACTCTGTGTATAGTGGTGCCTTTGTACTGTTTTCTATCTGGAATAAAGATGTATTACTACTATGTGCAGCGCAGGAGGAAGGAGGACATAACAGACCATTACAGGCCTTTATTAAAATAGTCATTACTATGTGCAATCTTCCTGAAGATGTGAGACAGGCCTCCTCTCTGACAATGTTTAAGACAAGGTTAAAGACAGTTCTGTTTAGCTGTGCATACAACTGAGGGATTTTATATTTTTATCTTTATGATTGTAATGCTTTGTTCAGCACTTTGAGTTGCCTTGTGTATGAATTGTGCTATACAAATAAACTTGCCTTGCCTATGTGCATTTACAGTCTATACTACAGTCTGTGTGTGTGTACTACAGTCTGTGTGTGTGTACTACAGTCTGTGTGTGTGTACTACAGTCTGTGTGTGTGTACTACAGTCTGTGTGTGTGTACTACAGTCTATGTGTGTGTACTACAGTCTGTGTGTGTGTACTACAGTCTGTGTGTGTGTACTACAGTCTGTGTGTGTGTACTACAGTCTGTGTGTGTGTACTACAGTCTAAGTGTGTGTACTACAGTCTAAGTGTGTGTACTACAGTCTGTGTGTGTGTACTACAGTCTGTGTGTGTGTACTACAGTCTGTGTGTGTGTGTACTACAGTCTATGTGTGTGTACTACAGTCTGTGTGTGTGTACTACAGTCTCTGTGTGTACTACAGTCTCTGTGTGTACTACAGTCTAAGTGTGTGTACTACAGTCTGTGTGTGTGTACTACAGTCTGTGTGTGTGTACTACAGTCTCTGTGTGTACTACAGTCTAAGTGTGTGTACTACAGTCTGTGTGTGTGTGTACTACAGTCTGTGTGTGTGTACTACAGTCTGTGTGTGTGTGTACTACAGTCTGTGTGTGTGTACTACAGTCTGTGTGTGTGTACTACAGTCTGTGTGTGTGTACTACAGTCTGTGTGTGTGTACTACAGTCTAAGTGTGTGTACTACAGTCTGTGTGTGTGTACTACAGTCTGTGTGTGTGTACTACAGTCTGTGTGTGTGTACTACAGTCTGTGTGTGTGTACTACAGTCTAAGTGTGTGTACTACAGTCTAAGTGTGTGTACTACAGTCTGTGTGTGTGTACTACAGTCTAAGTGTGTGTACTACAGTCTGTGTGTGTACTACAGTCTCTGTGTGTGTACTACAGTCTATGTGTGTGTACAACAGTCTGTGTGTGTGTACTACAGTCTAAGTGTGTGTACTACAGTCTAAGTGTGTGTACTACAGTCTGTGTGTACTACAGTCTCTGTGTGTGTACTACAGTCTATGTGTGTGTACAACAGTCTAAGTGTGTGTACTACAGTCTGTGTGTGTACTACAGTCTATGTGTGTGTACTACAGTCTGTGTGTGTGTACTACAGTCTGTGTGTGTGTACTACAGTCTGTGTGTGTGTACTACAGTCTGTGTGTGTGTACTACAGTCTATGTGTGTGTACTACAGTCTGTGTGTGTGTACTACAGTCTGTGTGTGTGTACTACAGTCTGTGTGTGTGTGTACTACAGTCTGTGTGTGTGTACTACAGTCTCTGTGTGTACTACAGTCTGTGTGTGTGTACTACAGTCTGTGTGTGTGTACTACAGTCTGTGTGTGTGTACTACAGTCTGTGTGTGTGTACTACAGTCTATGTGTGTGTACTACAGTCTGTGTGTGTGTACTACAGTCTGTGTGTGTGTACTACAGTCTGTGTGTGTGTACTACAGTCTATGTGTGTGTACTACAGTCTGTGTGTGTGTACTACAGTCTGTGTGTGTGTACTACAGTCTGTGTGTGTGTACTACAGTCTCTGTGTGTACTACAGTCTGTGTGTGTGTACTACAGTCTGTGTGTGTGTACTACAGTCTGTGTGTGTGTACTACAGTCTGTGTGTGTGTACTACAGTCTGTGTGTGTGTACTACAGTCTGTGTGTGTGTACTACAGTCTGTGTGTGTGTACTACAGTCTGTGTGTGTGTACAGAGCATCATAGGGACAACAATAACCTTGTGAGTGAGTTTACAGTGAACATGCAGTGATCCACATTTGAGTATTTACCACAGTACAGGGTAAAGATTAAGATTAGAGATCCTTTATTCCCCACAGTGGAGAAATGTCAGTGTTGCATCACAAGTTACAGACAATAGGAAAGAGGAGCACACTGCCCAAGAAAAATGAACAAAAACTCTATAGGAAAATGAAATAAAATACGACATAATCTCTAACTCTAGCATAAAAAGAAGCAGAATTAAATCTCTATCTCAAAGGTATTTTAGAGGATTTCCCCAAATTTTAAGAAATGTTTTAACTAAACTCTGGTCTTCTTTGACGAACCAGTAGTTTTGATGATTCACCGGAAGTAGATAATCCTCGTGGTAGCTGCGACTGCTGTGTGAAGGAGAGGTCACGCAGGTCTGTCCTCACCCGCTGCTGTCAGACTGTACAACGAGAATAGCTGAGCATGTACATGTAATGCTTCATGTAAATATAAATACTGAAATCATGTGTAATGTGCAATATAGTACTCGCATCCACTTTTTATTCTGCTCATATTCTGCTCACTACACATACATAGATAAGTACACACATGTCTGTACTGCAGAATATATATACAATACAATACAATACAATACAATTTATTCTTGTATAGCCCTAGGTCACAACAGAAGTCATCTCAGAGACTTAACAAAACCATTGAAATCACCAACACAGGTCAGAGAATCAACAGTTAAAACACATGAAGAATATAAAGCACACACAGAAGAAAATGTCCATACATGTTGTAGAATGCTAAAGTGTCCTGATCATCACCAATCCTTTCTGTTGGACACTAACTGTCCAACAAGACCCTCCTGCATCGACAAGGAAAAACTCTTAAAAAACCCAGTGGGAAAAAGTGAGAAACCTTGGGGAGAACTAGGGAAACCCACAGGGAGGGAGACCCATATGAGAAAGGGATCCGCTCCTCCGGACGGACAGACTAATGATCCAGGACCTAAGCTAGCTACAGAACGTGGACCAGTGGACGCTGAACGTGGACAGGTCCGGTGCAGGACTGAAGCACTCCCAGGCGGGTCGGGCGGGGCAGTCCGCAGGTGTAGATGGATATATATATGTGTGTTACTCCTGTACGAGTGTTTTGCCCGTACTTCGGTCTGAAGTATCTGTGTATGTCTTAAGTGCTTCTTACTGAGAGTGGTTGAGAGGAATGTTGAAGTGTGCATTGCAACACAGACATTTCTCCGCTGTGGGGGAATCTCATATTTTAATCCCACTGTGTGTTGTTCAATTTAGATGTATTTCAAACGAGGGGTCCCTAATTATATTGTTTAATTCATTGTATGTGATTTGGTCGTCATGGTTTTGTCTGATGGCACTCATGGTTATGGTAAAGATGGAGAAGATTATTTTTTTTATCAGAGTCCTCTGTATTTAAACCCGCAGTACCATGAGCCGCCAGTAGGTGTCGCACACGCCTCTCCACAGCTGTGTGCTGAGTAAGCCTGCAGAGGTCACAGAGACTAGCACTGAATATCACTGTCCTCCAGACTCTGCAAACCACATCCACACCTTCAGCTCCGTCTTCAAACAAGCTCCAGAGATTGTTTCATTGTTTCAAAGATGGAAGACACGTTGGGGAAGTTGGAGAGATGACAGCTGAGGCGGGTGAAGTGTCATGCTCAAGGACACAACAGCAGCATGACCGAAGTGAAAAATGTCATCTCAGATATTCTCACAGAGCTCTGTAAACTTGACCTTCCCCCTGACCCTGCTGTGCCTCTCTCTGGCTTCAGAATGATGGAAGAATGTGTGATGATGGCCTCCTTGACTAACTTTGTGTGAATGTACTTCTGATGCATCATGATTTGCTGAGTCAGGGATTCTCAGCGCGTTCTAATCAGTGTCAGAGTCCGCAGAAGGACAAATCAAAGTCACGCTCCGTTTTATTCCGGGCATCACAGTGCAGTCCTTTCACACAGAGTATGTTCAGCAGCTGCTATGAGCGATGGGAGATTATTTGTTCATTGATTTTCACAGTACACACTTGTCTCAGCGTTTCCAAATAGTAAATAATCTTATTGTTCTGGTCTACAATATGACTTGTGAAAAGTAGGATGAAGTATTTTGCCCAAAAGACTCTCCTAACTCCAGCTGTACCTAATATATTCCACAATTGAGGAGACATAATGATTTCTATGGATTGGGAAAAAGAATGAGAAATGATATAATCTCTGTGTATTGTCGTGAAAAATTTGCACACTGGACTAACGATTGTTCTCTAAAAAGTGCATTTCTGTGGACTTTCTGGGTCTGGTGGGGACATGAGGACTCCTCCCCTCCTCCTTGTCCCATTTGCCAACACTGTACATGATACTATTTCTGTTCTCTCTGCAAAAATACTTCTCCATCAGCATTTTTCCTCCTCTCAGCAAAAGTGGAGCAGCGTCACAGCCTTGTCTCCAGGTGTTGGTACCACATGGTCTGAGCTCACAGGATCCTTGAGGCCACACAGCACCTTTAGGACCCAGTGTGATCTGCAGTGGTGCAACTACTGCTACTACAAATACTATTACTACTACTACTATTGGTACTATTACTGCTACTGCGAGAGTGAGCTGTCCCGGAACACGATAAGGAGAGAGCTGTGTCCCTCTGGAGGTCATGGAGGAGTGTGTGGAGTATAGGGGAGTAGTGCTCAGGTGCGGAGGGAGGAGGGGACGTCGTGACCATATAAGGAGTGGGCGGGTCTTGTGCGTGTGTCCTGGCTCAAGGTGACTCCTGGGAGGAAGTAGTTTTCTGAAATGGAGAGCGGA